AAAGTTGAAATTAATGGAGGGATAATTTTGTGTTGACTTTCCAAAAATACCCTTGATGTGATGGGTAAAAGTAGGATGTGATGTGTAGATTATTAGGAAAATGTATGATGTGATAGGTAGATTTTGAAAAAGTAATGGGTAAAAGTGGTTTTTTAGTAGAAATGGGTAGGAGATTGTGGGACGCAATTTTTTTGAAACGTGTAAATCTTTTTGGGACGGAGGGAGTATAACTTAGTTAATTTTAGCATTACTTTACTGACAAATTCTTCCGTGGATCTAAAGTCCACGTTAATTTTATTGACCTTAGTGCATTTGTAACTTAAAAGAAGAAGGGCTTTTTCAAAATAAAAATATTCACATATAAGCCTATGAAAAATGTAAGAAAGTACTCCCTAATTATATGCCGTATGGTTTAAACTACTCATAGTAAACTAAAGGCAGAAATTTAAATAATTAGTTTATGAAGTTGTAAAAAGAATTTAAAATAAGAAATACAAATCAAGTCATGAGGACTCATGACTCATCATATTACACTTTTGACTCCAGAAACTTTAAGCTAAAGTTTTATTTTATTGTTCCTTTGAGTTGAACTATTCAAAATAGTTAACGGCGGCAAATTAACAACATCCAACTGATATAATTATATAATTTATAATATTACAAGTAAGAAAGCCGTCAAAAAATAGGCAAATTATTACAAAAATATATATGTGAGAAGATCTATGTGGACATTAAATAGCGAAAATAGGCATAAAATGATACAACAATGATAAAAGACGGACATTTGTATTATATAACGAAATAACATAAGTGGCCTTTATACGCACTTGAAATACAGATCATACCTCTTATTTGCCATATTAAAATTATACGGAGTATTTTTCCAGACTTTTTTAGAAGAACTTTATGGATGTTTTTGTTTATGAATCTTGTACGATTCATATCAGGATAAAGAAAAACTTCAAGCGTTCTTCAAACTCCAAGAAAGGGGAGACAAGAGATTAAGAGAATTTTTGACTATCGAGTGATTGAATGATAATGATACGAGATTACAATATATAGCGCTAAAACGTCACACTAAATGACCTAATGGGCTCGGGCCACTACACAAATCCTAATTTATAGAATATTAATAAATATTAACAAATAACTACTAAATAATAATAGAACCAATTAAAGTATTTTAATTAACTGTCCGTATCATTTTTTTCAATATCTACATTTTTCAATTAAAAGAGTGCAAATTCATGATTCCTTTTCTGCGTCAATTGTCTTCTTCAAAATTGCCTAATGATAGCTTTGACCACAAAGGATTTCATTGCCATTTGGTTTTCTAATCTTGGCATTATGTGTACACACTGCAATTAATTACTACTCCATGAAGTTTCCAAGAGTGTGATTATGGTTCCCACTCCCACTAATGATCAAACTCATGATTCACCCTTTGATTCAACAAATCTTTGGTGGTTAGGAGTTTTTGGCAAATTAAATTTGAGTGAAATTAGGTGCCTTTATGGCTTGTTTGGAATTTTGGATACCTCTAATTCTAAGTCAAATTTTGATTTGAAGTTTATGGTTTCATATTTAATTATTTGCGGTTTGTTCCTTTTCAAATTACAATAAATTGGGCTTTTTTTATCAAGAAAACATTCCACTGGAGATCGAGTACAACACATAAGTTTGAAAGTTGTATAAGAATTTCTTTCCAATCACTTTCCAATTAAAGTAATTTTGATATTATTCTAAAACTTTTAACCGGTTAAGGCAAAAGTTTCAAGAACGAAATGTGTATGATTCTGTCTCAAACATACTACTCTAAGACTCTCTTCTTTTATGTTCTAACTCTTAACTTCTAATCTTTTTCAGTTTTTTTCATTTCTTTTGAACTCATTCTAAATTTCCAACTTCTTTATGAAATGATAACTTGGGCTTAATTAATTTAATTAATTAATTCAATCCTAAAATTTAACTCAAAAGACGTCCAAGCTAATAAAGCTACTATAAGCAGCATAATAAGCTACATAGCTAATGTAGGAGTTGATCACGTACTCAACGAACACGCCTCCCTCACATGAGGTGCGTATTAATGATAGACTTGGACTCAATTCAACCATTAAAGTTAATTCAAGAGGTTGAGACTTGAGACATCCAAACTATTATAAGCAGCATAATAATAGGCTACACATCGAACGTGGGGATCACTCAACATCCTTCCAGTTTTTTTGGAAACTTCATCCAGTTTTTAAACTTTTTTTAGTGTTTTCAAAATCCTTCAAGTTTTTTCTAATTCGTAGTTTCTTTCAAATTAATTTTAGTTTATTTTAAAATAATAATAATACTTATTTAGGTATATTTTTCATATTATTATTGTTGTTGTTTTTTTGATGTTATAATAATAATAATTAATAATATTATTATTATTTATCTTAGTAGAATTTAAAAATTGTTGTAATGTCATAATTAATTTAAAAACCCCTATGTCCCCAAAATAAGTTTTAGTTAAATAATAATTTTTTATATATAAATAGAGATATTAATGATCAAAATGTTAAACCCGTGGTCTAAAAAGTTAAATAAAAAAGCAAACTCTGTCTATCTATAAATGAATTACACTCTCTGTTTAATTTGTAAAATCTCATAACTTCTAAAATGATTTATTTACCAATTGGTATAAAAATAAAAAATAAAAAATAAAAATTATATATATTGGTAAATTATATATATTTTTCATATATATTCTCAGAACCGGCTTGTCAGTCACTGAGAGGAGGTACATTGGACTTTAATCGTAGATTGGTGGCAGAGAGTAGAGTGTGCACCTCGTATTTGCAAAGGCCTTATGCTTAACATAGTTGCCTTACAGCGCCATTGGTGGGAAGCGAACTTGGATCTACCCCCTATGCACTCTCTGCCTTTGTCAACTATGCAACGCCCACCGGCACTGATTACATTGACAAAATTTACATGATGTATGCACATTATTTATAATTGCATTGTATATTTCGTAGTTAATAGATAGTTTTCAATTTTCTTTGGTAATACTTGTCATATTGATACAATAATATAAATAAAATATTGAGAATGAAATTATAGAAAAACACTTATTTATTTTTATACATATTTAGGATGTGCATATTATAAAATTATTAATGTCTCTGTCTCAAAATATTCGTCCAATTTGATTCTTTGAGTCGATCTTGACAAAATTTAATCATCAATAACAGTAGATTTGTCTTACGTATAAATACAATGAAATAAATTTCTTAAGATTTTCCACAAGACAAATCTAATGAACTTATTTTCAGACTAATTAACAATGTAAATCTCATTTATGATTAGTTTTAATTTGTCCAGTTTAACTCGAATTAGTGAAACTGAATGAATATCGAGACGAACGAAGATAGTGTTGTATGCATAATTTTCTGTTACACAAATTTATTTCGTTACACAGGAAAATAGGTAGATTCGAATGCGGTATGTCATGGATGGCTTCGGGTGATTCTCAATAAAAAAGAGGAACCTCCACCCCGAAAAGCGTCTCAGCATTGACCCAACAAAAATATTAATTGAACTATAATCTCAGTCAATTGACATAAGGAAAAATGTGTCATGGATGACTTTGGTGATTCTCAATAAGAACAATGTATGCAGCAAAATCTAAACGTAGATTTGGCGTAAAAGCACGGGCTAGAAAGGGGGCGTATATATAAACTACGAAAAATCCCCAACGAAGCACAGATTACTTTCTCTGTCTATTCTCCAAAATCCTCAGTTTCAGAGCTCTTTCAGGTGCTTTCACGCCCATACAAACTCTCTCTTTCGTCTCCAGACGCATATATATACAGACATATTTATATCTATATTCCTGGCTGTGCCATAAATTCACACTGGTGATTGAGATTGAGGCGGAGGAAGGAGAATTAATGGCGGCGATCGGGGGGCTGCGGACAGATTGAGGGCGGGGTGAGGAAGATTTGGGGCGATCGGAATGCGGGTCAGGGAAATGCATCCGCTCTGCTGCATAACTCTGGCGAGCGAGGAAATCGGGGACGCGTCGCCGGAGATGTCGGCGATGCTGCTGCGGACGGGTTCGGCGGTGGCCGGATCTGATCGCAATGCCGGGGGGTGCGACGGCGCCAGCGTCGCCGGCGTGCTCTACAAGTGGACCAATTACCACAAGGGCTGGAGATCCCGCTGGTTCAACCTCCGCAGCGGCGTCATTTCCTACTCCAAATCTCGGCATCCCGACCACACCTCCCTCGTCGCCGACGACGTCAAGCTGATCGGTCGCCTTCCGTCCGACGATCTCCGCCGCCGTAAGCACCGCAAAATCATCCGCATTGTCCACCTCAAGGTATAAAAAATCACATACGCGTATCTACTATATATATCTGCCCTGTCACCTGCTTGAATACGCATTTGTCACCAGGCCCACTGGTCAGCGAACTTTGTGACAGAGAAAAAAATCAAAAAAAAAAAAAATCAGAGCTCTGATAAGATGAATTTGGGGAAATTTCCCCAGGGGTTTTTCAATCGGGGGGAAAATCAAAAGGGAGGGTCGTCATTTTGGTGGGTACAATGGAAGAAACAGAAAGTTTTCCCGTATGGGCAGGGCAATGAATGGGGGAGCATTTACTCCCAATTGCTATAATTTCTGTCTCTGTGAAAACTTTGGTGTCATCACTGCCACCTAAATAGCTTAGAAATCTGAGCTTTTTTGCAGAGTCTTTATCCAGAGAGCGGTTTGAATTTTCTTGTCATTTTTACCATCACGTTTAAGTGCTGGCTAATCTCAGGCCAGTCACATCAAGGTGATTAGGGGAGGGGGAAGTTACCCCATCGCTTTATTAGGTTTTTGGGCCTTATTATTAGGTTTTGTGGCAATTTCACAATGTTTTAAAGAAAAGCGAATTTTGGGGCGTGTTTGGCTTGGTTTTCTTCTGGTTAAAGGAGACCCGTTGCCTTTCAATTCACGCCAAGTAAAAAAGCCAGGAATCTGCATAACTTTTCTTCTTCTTGTTCATCTTCTTCTTCTTGGATGGGCTTCTTCAGCTCTCCCTTTTTGACGAGTCTCCTTTGAATCTGTTGTCGAGAAAGTAGTGTTCTTTTCTTTGCTGGAATTGCAAGTGTGGAACAGTAAAGAATGGTGGACAGATATGTTTGACTGTTTCCACCTTTTCTAACTTTCTCCTATTATGGTTTACAGCAAATGTTTGATTCTTTTTTCTTCTTTTTTTTCCAATTCATACAGTAAGTTTTATCCCTGTCAAGCCTCATGTAAATTAAGCTGATTACTCCAATTATAAAGTGTAAACAAAAAAAACAGAGAAAACAACACTGAGTAAAAGGATGCACCTAACTCTGAAGTCCTTAGAAACAACCAATAATTTAGCTTTAATTATATAAGAAGGTTGATTGGAAGTGAGACACGTCTCTTGTATGTGCAGGAATTCCATGCAGGGCAGGATCATTCTTTATTGTTGTTGAACTAGCATGTTAAGAAAACTCACTGAAGTGGATAATGTCCTCCTAGAGTAATTGCTGGTTTAATATGAAATGAATGCCATTTTGACTGGCTTGGCGTGGGTTTATATGGCTTAAGATTTCTTAGGTGTTTTCTCTTTCTTGCTGACTTTGGAAGATAATTAATAGCATGTAATTTTTTTTTCCACTTCGTATGAAGGTCTCATCATTTCGGGAGAGCAGATCTGATGATAAGCGGTTTTACATATTTACGCCTACTAAGACTCTTCATCTAAGGACAAACTCGAGAAGAGAAAGAGGAGCTTGGATTGAAGCCTTGGTTTCAACAAGAAATGTCTTCATGCTTAGACACTCAAATGATAGTCTCCCCATTTTACCCAGGAGTGTATCTGTATCCACTGACAAGCTGAAGAAGCGTTTGCTTGATGAGGGAATCGGCGAGGGCCTAGTCAAGGACTGTGAACAGATAATGCTTTCCGAATTTTCAGAAATGCAAGGTCAACTTCAATATCTTTGCGATGAGCGCTCAAGTTTGTTAGAAACCATACATCAGTTAGAGGTAAATGATGTTCTTCATGTTTTGCGTATTTTTAATTGTAAGAGTTACTTTGTGCCCCTTTCCGCTTTGTATACCATAATTTAAAATGATTTCCTTGCTTTGACCATACTCTGATTTTCCTAATGCAGGCTACCAATATTGAAACTGAGGATGCTGGAGTTCCTGAGGGTGAATATCCAAATTTAGGACGTGGAAAGTATAGCGGTAAGCTTAATATATATACTCTCAATTAATCTAATAATCTGTCGTTGGTATTACGAATTGTTTTCCAAACTTGAGTGTGTTCTCGTATAAAAAGTGATGTTAGATGTCATTGCAATGCATCCATACCAATGGTATTTTATTCTTGTTTCTCCGTGTAAGGAAATATCAAGGAAAATATGATTCACCATTCCTTCAAATGTTTCAGAATGGAGCACTACTGAATCCTCCGATGGTGTTGAGAAACAAGAGCTTGAGGAAGCATCAGATGAAGAGGAAACTAGATTTTTTGACACAAATGATTGCTTTCCTGATCCGCCTGTCAGTTGCGCGCCAACAGTAGGAGATCAAATTGGTCAAGACATGGGGCTTGAGAAACCATTTAATGATATGGTGCAAAGGAGTGCTGATAATGATGCTTCCATGTGCACACATGTAGAAAGGCGAACGAGACTACCTGATCCAATTGAAAAGGAGAAAGGAGTTAGTTTATGGTCTATGATCAAAGACAATGTTGGAAAAGATCTCACACGAGTTTGTCTTCCAGTGTACTTTAACGAACCCTTATCATCCCTTCAGAGAAGCTTTGAAGATTTGGAGTACTCCTATCTTTTAGATAGGGCATACAAGCATGGGAAAGAGGTATATGCTCATAAATTGATTCTTTGATTTATGTATATATAGAGAATACAATTTTTTTATAAACTTTGGTGATGTGGGCTGTTGCTACTGAATTCTAGTTTCATTTTATATTTTTTTGATCGACTACTCAATTTTGTACTACTCGTATGGCATTCTCTAGTTTAAAGAGGATGTGCTTAAAGCCTGTGGTGTTTGATATTTCAATGCCGTTGCCAATATTTTTTTTGGAAATTTTTGTGTTTGTTAATGTTATTGTTTTCCGTTGTCTTTTTATATGGGTTTCTCGTCTTTGTCCTCTCATAGTGTTCCAACAATGGAAATGGGAACCTTGCACTGTGTGGTATTGCGAAGTGCTTGGGATGATAATGTACCTTTGATATTTGTGACTGCTTATTTCTTGATGTGCCCTGCATTCATAGTTTTTTTTTGTCTGAATGGATAGCTTTCATAGTTTCTTCTAATAAAATAACTTGGCCATTATGTTTTTGCATTTAGGGTAATGCTCTACAAAGGATTTTGAACGTTGCTGCTTTCGCTGTGTCTGGATATGCATCGACCGAAGGTCGACACTGCAAACCCTTCAATCCTCTGTTGGGAGAAACCTATGAAGCTGATTATCCAGAGAAAGGAATCAAATTCTTCTCCGAAAAGGTATATATTATATCCGTCTAGCCTGTTTGGATTAAAGTTTTTGGAGAGTTGCAATTTCATTCTGTGTAAGGCAGCTTTAGGAAACTGGAACACTTGCATTTGAAACTCCACAAAAAAAAGTGTTACATGTAATGGGTTTTATAAGTTGAAACTTGAAACACATACACTACAAGCAACATCTTGAGTCATGCTATTGATGTGGGAAATTATGAAACAGGTTAGTCACCACCCAACACTTATTGCCTGTCATTGTGAAGGTAGAGGCTGGAAATTCTGGGGTGATAGTAACCTAAAATCTAAATTTTGGGGGACATCAATTCAAGTCGATCCAGTTGGAACTCTAACATTAGAATTCGACGATGGGGAGATTTTCCAGTGGAACAAGGTATGCACCGTGACATAGTTTTAGTGCGGAGATCATTATATTCTTCCATCAATTCTTTATTAGTTCCTGCGACTAAATCGGTCGTGTTTATGTTGTCTTATTTCAGGTCACAACCAGCATATATAATCTAATTCTTGGGAAGATATACTGTGACCATCACGGAATGATGCATATTCGTGGCAATCGCCAGCACTCATGTAAACTGAAATTCAAAGAGCAATCTCTTCTTGACCGCAACCCCCACCAGGTCCACGGATTCGTTGAAGATGTCGCGGGCCATAAGGTAGCTACAGTGTTTGGGAAGTGGGACGAAAACATGTATTACGTAAACGGAGAATGCAGCAGCAGACCAAAAGATTTGTCTGCTTCATCCTTGTTGTGGAAAAGTAATAAACCTCCACAGAATCTCACCAGATACAATATGACTTCTTTTGCGATCACTCTCAACGAGTTAACTCCAGGACTGAAGGTATATTGTTATTGTTATTTAGATTAAATGGACATTTTTTGTGGATAAACAAAATCTTGTATGTAATATTCGAATCATCTCATGCGTGAAGGAAAAACTCCCTCCTACTGATTCAAGACTTCGGCCTGATCAGCGTTCTCTGGAGAATGGGGAATATGACAAGGCAAATGCAGAGAAACTGCGGTTAGAGACACGCCAGAGAATGGTATGTACACTGCTACTTATTTTCCCAGATTCTTTGAGCCATGTTTGGGTCTACATGGCTACACATATATATAACACACAGAGATGATGTTTTCTATATTTATTCTTGTTCAGAAAACATTTTCAGAAGTTATTATTTTTCTTGGAAACAAATGGGGCCTTAACGACAACACGTTTTCGTTTTTCGCAGTCAAGAAAACTGCAGGAAAACGGATGGAAGCCGAGGTGGTTCCAAAGAGAAGGAGAAGATGGTACTTTCACTTACACAGGTGGATACTGGGAAACGCGTGAGGTTGGGGAATGGGACGGATGTCCCAACATATTTGGGGAAATCCACGAAGATACCGCACTTTTGTAGCCTTGAATCTTTCCCCCCCTTGCCAAACGCGCCCCTATCTTCGCCATCCTCCTACTAACATTACCAAAATGCCCTCAGGTTCGTATGTCGTTGCACATTTTAGCGCAGGGTCGTTGACAACATGTCAGCTGTGAACAACAAATAGGGGCAATGTTTTTTTTGCTGGATTTCATGGCCCTCTGTTTTCTGGGCTATATATATAGATTCTCATATTTGTCTTTTAGGAAATTTTGTGTATTCTCTTTAATTCAAATAATAAATAAAAATCGAATTGTACTTATTGAGCTAGGTAACTAAATTAAATACAGTTAGCCTCGTATAAGTTGTGTTTTATTTAAACAAATATCTTGTCATTTGTTAATCTTTATTATTACCTTAATTACACTATGTTTGGTTCAAGAAATTTGAAAGGAAAAAGAAAAGAAAATGATGTGGAAACTATGGACTTGTGATTGAGTAAAACTCCCTTAGGCCCGACAATATTGGTTGTCCTAGCCCAGGCCGGACAAAAGGCCCATTGGACAATAGCAGGAAGATGTAAATGAAACAAGATAAATTTTATAGTGGACTTGAGGTAAATGAGCAAATAAGCATTTCTATATTACTTAAATAAATCTATTTTTTAAAATAAAAAATAAAAAATATATATGAAAAATTTCATAAAAATAATATGCATACAAGGTGCACTAAAACATTGGTTAGTTCATGATTTAATTATTTGCTTTTGGCACTTGTTTAACACTTTAACTCATTTCTTTAAAGTCGTCCTTTAGCCGCTGATTGACGCTAGAGGTCGACTCCGATCAATTGTCCCGTCCGCCGGTTCGCCTCTCCGATCCCACCCTCTCCTAAGTCCTAAAATTTACTACTACTGTTTTTTTGTTTAAAATATATTACTTCGTAATTTAATTTATTATTCCGATTCTTTTGTTTCTAGTTTAGTTAAAAAGACTAATGATTAATTGATAATCTGATTTTGTTTTGTAAATTTGGTTGACTATTATTTCGGGAAAAAAGCATGTAAGCCCGGTTGGTACCCAGGATTTGAATTGAATATACGGAGTATAATAATTCAATTTCAAATTACGGTGGGATTCTAATGACATCGGGGTACGGTGACACTAGCGGTGCCACTCTCATTTTGGGGTACTTCCGGTGCTCCGTTCGTAAAATTGATCATTCCTATCCCCCATAAATCACCCCCTAAACCTCCCACCCTACCCTCACCCCAACCCCGCCGTAAGCCCCCCCACAAAATAGGACTAAAACATAAGTCATTTTCCAATGTAGGATTTAAACTTTTTTATTTTCTAAATAGAACTTAATAATGTCTAGTGAGAGGAATAATGTCCAGTAATAATGAACATTTACTTGAATAATGATTAATTGATAATGACCAAAGGTCTTATATTTGGAAATAAAAATATAATATATGATTCTATATTGGGAAAGTCATTACGTTTTAGTCCTATTTAGGTAAATTTCTCATTATGAAATTATATTATGATTCTAAATTCACATCCACATAGTTTTGTGCTACCTAAATTTATACTCGGTATATTTTTAGAATTGATGCGGAAATTTTTAATTTAGATTATTTAAATTCTAAATTCACATAATTTTGTGCCACCAAAGAGTACAATGAAATTGAATTCTCTATTTCTTATACCATTATCTGAATTCTGTGTACCAAATGCAATCATATAGTAATTTTTTTATTCAACTAAGTTAGTTCATATTAAATCAAAATGAAAAGATATTATATTTTTGAGTAGTTCCAAAGTGAGCGAATCAAGTGGCTCATTTCATGACTAGAGCATCTAATTCTCTAGAGTGGGACTGTGTCCCCCGGTGATTATTTGTAATATTTTGCACAATGATATTTTGAATCAATGACTACTCTATAGTTATTTTCAAAAAAAAACTAAAAATGAAAATTCTTGAACTAAATACACCACTAGGCACTAGATTACATTACATTATTTAGCACTTCATCTTATTAATCATCCCATCTCATCTTCATATATAGAACACAATATAAACACATAAATCTAGCTAGAAAATGAAAGAGTAGCAAGACGGAATACAAATCTACTAGTGCTTGTCTCCTAATAAATAGGAGGACAAACAAAACCAGGAGGAGGGGTCAAACCACAAGTTGCTAAAACTTGAAGGGCAAGTGGAATGAAAATATTAAGGTTGAGAAGCTTAAGCCTCACGGCGGTGCAGAGACACACCGCCGCCTCCAGCTCTAGCAGCCCTTGAAGCACCGGACAACAAACATTCTCCGCCGGATTTCCTATCCCCACATGCACCAATCCTCCAAGCACATCCAAACACAACCCTAGCTTCAGGGCGTTTATCGGACACTGAGTGGTCGGTGGTGGAAAAATAATTCCACCGCCGCCGCCACTGCCTCCACCACCACCACCACTTCCTCCTCCTGTTCCTGGTGCAGGGGTATAAGGAGGGTAGCCTCCCCCTCCGCCTCCGCCTCCGCTTCCACCTCCACCACCCCATCCTGGTGGGTTGGTGATAGGAGGGTTTATGATCGGAGGGAGGATGCCGGGTGGAGGCAGGACGACGACAGGAGGGTTGATTATGGGGGGTAAGATTCCGGCAGGAGGAGGCAAAATGACCGGAGGATTTATGACCGGAGGGAGGATGCCGGGTGGCGTGACGACGGGAGGGAAGTGTATAGGCGGCAAGACCTTCGGAGGTGGGTGTGGGCGGGGGATTTTGGGGGGATGAGGGCGGCCGGATTCGGGAGGAGTGGGGCGGTGGTAGGGTGGGTAATTATGGCAGGGGTCGCATGAGATGTTCCAGTGAGCATATGCCGGCGGCGGCGGCGAGGAAACCGCCATGCAAATTAAGAGCAACGATAGGATGAGCTTCAAGTCCATGGGAGTATAGCTTAGCTTAGGCAGGGTGGTTCTATATGAGGAAACACTTGTAGCCTTTCTTCTAGTTTTGAGTGCAAAGATGATACGGAGTATAATGTATGTTTATTTATATACTCCCTCTTTCCGTTGCCAAGTTGGCAACGTAAGAGGTCCTGCAACTGTGCTGGGAGACAACTATGTTAAGCATAGGACCTCTGCAAGAATCATGTTCCACTCTTTGCCACTAATTTGCTATTAAAGTCTAATTTACCTCTCAGTGACCGTTTGGCCAGGTCTGAGGGGGCACTCGGGGATGAGGCTCATCCTTTTTTTATATACTCCCTCCATTTGAAAGATGCTTTAAAAAAAACTCTATCCCTTAAAAAACAATTTTACATTCATTTTTTCCACACACAACAAACCATATTTATCTCATCGAAAATACATAAAATCCTTCAAAGTAACCTTTTACCTGTAATAAAAGAGAAACTAAGTGTATTTCAAACATTTTAGATGGATAGAAAGAGCTATTTTTCAAACGGATTCGTCCCATAATTAAATTTAAGCTGAGTATTTATTTTGGATATCTCAAAATTTAAGTTGTGCTTCTATAATTTCGATATCATTATAATCTAAGGAAAGTCATTATGTTTTAGTGCTAATTAAGTAAATTTCTCATGTCTTTAACATTGCCCGCTACGTGTTCGTACTATCACCATGCACGCCCTTTTGCATGTAAGATAAGGACGGTGGTTGTCGACCCAGTGCCAGCTTATTAACTGGTGTTCAAGGTAAAATTTTTGCCCCAATTCAACAAGGGTAAAAATGTATAATTGACATAAAAACATTGAATAAGATTAATTATTATCAAATTATCCAAGCAATAAAACAGTTTAAGTGCTATTCAGGGAAATGACTTAAGTTTTGGTGCTATTTAGTGCAAATATTTCTAAAGATATATACTTCCTCTATAACTATTAAATTTTTCTCCTTTATTTTTATATAAATTTATATATAAATTTTATTGATTATCGTCATACCAATTTTTAAAAAAAATAATTTTAAAACAATGCATGGTTTTGCCTTATAAATGGAAAAATGTGATCTAATTTCGGACAGAGAATTCGGAGTATAATCATGTTACCTCTAGTTTTGTAGTTTTTTGATAGATAAAGTTTTTAAATATGTAATTTTTATTTTTAATTCAAAACTATTTTGTATATGAACTAATGATTTGAATATAACTTCAGTAAAAACATCATAAAAATCCCAGTACATCCCGACTTTATATCCTAATGGTATTCTTTTCTATTTTCTGATGTGAAAACTCCAACATAAATAATGTTATAAATAATGTTGCATTATTTTCAGGATAGAGGTGACTACCTAATGTGAATCCGTGAACAGGGCGCAGGTAGACGAGGACAAAAGATGGTATGGCTGGATATACATATGCATGCATGCATGTTCAGATCATCACTTTCTGGTGCAAGTACTGATTTTTAGGTGTTTAATTTGGATGTATATATGTGTGATATATTATCTTTTTATTTGTTACTAGCTACTCGGATTCTCTTATTAATTACTCCCTCCGTTCCACAAAACTCTTCCTCTTTCATTTTTTTGCTTTCTACAAAACACTTCAACTTTCTATTAAAAAACCACTTTTACCCTTACTTTTTCATACCCTACCTATCACATCATACTTTTTCACTAATAACCAAACTATCATATCTTACTTTTTCTCATCACATCAAAGGCAAAATTGGAAAGTCAACCAAAATAACACTTTCCTTATTTTTCCCCAGAGTCAAAACCGGAAGGGTTTTATGGAACGGAGGGAGTATTATATATCTTGATCAACACTGAAAACTTATCCTTTCCCACAAAATACTCCCTCCGTCCCAAAAAGTCAGTTACATTTCGAAAAATTTGCGTTAAAGTCCTTTACATTTCTATTAAAAAACCACTTTTACCCCTTATTTTTTCATACCCTACCTATCACATCATACCTTTTTCCTAATAATCTACTCATCACATCCTACTTTTATCCATCACATCTGATGGTGTAAATTACTTGACCGGTCAAACTATACTAGACCGGGTCTAGAATGGTTGGCTTGATTTCGTAAAGTAAAGAAAGTAAAAACACTCGGAACGACCGGTAGGACTTTAGGTGGAACACCTGTAGCCCGAATTATATTAAAACAAGGAATGCACGGTCACTTTTACAAGGGAGTTTAGAGAGAGTGAATTCCCCCCCCTCCTTCCTGAGGTTTACATGCGTATTTATACTAGGCTAAAGGGGGACAAGACCGCGTGCACCCACGTGGGATCATGCTGCCGCAGGTGGGAGGTGACTGCTGAGCTGCCTTGTCCTTTTGCGCGGGGGGCTGCGCCTTTGTCGCGTTCTGACTTGGAAATGTTCCTTCGTCATCTCTGCAATTCCAACCACTACAGTCCAAGTCCTTTTGGATTCCTCCTGCTGACACTCTCCGATCTTCGGAAACTAGACCGGGTGATCTTTTAGGGTTGGTTTGGCTAACTTCGGAGGATGAATTTAGGCGATGGAATAGTTTGACCGGTATACTAATCCGAAGTATACCGGTCAACTTTCTGGTCAACCAGCCATTCCTTTGCTGACGACTCAGATCTCCCTTTCAAGTTTGACTTCTTTGACCGGTCAACTTTCGGATTCGGACCCTTGACTGGTCATGGGTGAAATACACCCATCAATAAGCCCTCCACTTCTCGGTTATGCAATTTTGTCATAAGCGGGAAGTAAAAATCCAAGAGGTATATTCAAAACTCAAATTTCTGGCTTTTCCCGCTCGAATATTTCAAATTCAAAATTTGAACTGTCGGTTTTGACACGTGTTGGGCGCTGGCCATGGCAGTAGTCGCGTCCTTTCGCCTTCCCATGTGTGATGATTACGCCGCCTTACGCGGCGTGCTCCGCTCGTGCCACGTCACCTTCTTCTCTTTCTTCCTCGCCTATATAAAGGCCTCCAACCCCATTCATTTCTTCACTTCTTCGTGCACGTCTCTCGAGTTTCACCGGTCAAGCTCCCTCTAGCCTTCCAGCCCTCCGAACCAAGTAAGCTTCCTTCTTTCTTAGTTTTTCCTTTCTTTTCTCTGCCTTTCTCCCCGGTCAATGTCTTCCCCTGATAGCCAAGATATCTCTGCCTCAGATGCCCGCGCATCCGAGGAATCCCTTTCCTCTTCTTCTTCGACCGGGTCATCTTCTCCCATCCCTAAGTCCCGGTCGAATCCCAACCCTAGCATCCCTGAACCGCAGCCGTTAAACCAGATGCCCGGTCACCTTTTTGCGGAGAGGGAGGAGCCGGTCAATGACGAACCGGCCCCCTATGACCCGGAAAAAGAGACCAGGGATCAGTGGGTAGAGAGGTTGGATGCAGCCGGTTACTCTCCCCTTCCTACCTCCTTCGTTACAGACATCTACCCCAACGTTTCCAAAATAGCTCTGAATAAGGCCCGTAGGAATCTACCGGCGGGCTATGTTCTTGAATATGACGAGAACTGGTCCAACATAATCAGGCCTCACCGGGAGGATAGAATAGGTTTTCATATTGCTTCCTTAGAGAGTGGTATCGTTTTTCCCCTTCGCCCCCCTCCTGGTAGAGCTTTGCCACTGCTTTAGGATTCTTCCCGGTCAGATCACTCCCAACGCCCACCGGTTACTCAATTCATTTGCTAATATCTGCGCCCACCTTCACATCGACCCCTCTCTTCGCCTCTTCCTATACATGTTTGAGGTTCGACCCGGTAAACCGGGTTGTGAAGGTTTCGTCTATTTCAAAGGACGAAACAACCGTAAGTTCATCTCTGACCTTCCACAAAGTAACCGTTTGTGGAAGGAAAAATTTGTTTTCATAAAATTTCCTGCCTCTGTCACTCCTTTGGCCGGCCTGAAGTGGAGCGACCATCTCCTCAAGCATCAATTCACCGAACCGCCGGCCACCCCGGATCTGGAAGAGAGCCGGGAACTACTTCTTAAAGGGGACCCCTACACCGGTCAGATGTACCACTACGGGGGTTGGGTGTGGCGCGTCCAACCGGGTGGCGAGGGCACCTCCCGGGCCCATGAAGCAGCGGGGCGCGGGGGACCCTCCCCGGGCGACACTGCGGAGGCTGGAGGCCCGGGTCACCCAGGTACCCGTCTATTTCTTCCCTTTGTTTTTCTGACTGAACCGGTCGTGATTTGAACACTTAACAATATTTTGCCTGTTTCTGCAGATATGAATTTCAGGGCGTACAATATGCCAAAGACTACCGGTGGATCTTCAGCTACCGGTCCACAAACCTCAAAAACAGAACCGGTCCAGAAGGAAACTATCGAGGTCCACTCTGAAGAGGAAACTCCCGAGACCGGTGGAGTTCCTCCGACCGGGAAGGAACCGGCGAACTCTCCCCCCACTAAAGGGAAAGGGAAAAAAAGAGTAAAGCATGCGGCCACCACCCATCCATCGGTCAAGAAGAGAAGGGGAGAAAACGTCCCGGCTGAGAGAGTGAATTCCCCCCCTCCTTCCTGAGGTTTACATGCGTATTTATACTAGGCTAAAGGGGGACAAGACCGCGTGCACCCACGTGGGATCATGCTGCCGCAGGTGGGAGGTGACTGCTGAGCTGCCTTGTCCTTTTGCGCGGGGGGCTGCGCCTTTGTCGCGTTCTGACTTGGAAATGTTCCTTCGGCATCTCTGCAATTCCAACCACTACAGTCCAAGTCCTTTTGGATTCCTCCTGCTGACACTCTCCGATCTTCGGAAACTAGACTGGATGATCTTTTAGGGTTGGTTTGGCTAACTTCGGAGGATGAATTTAGGCGATGGAATAGTTTGACCGGTATACTAATCCGAAGTATACCAGTCAACTTTCTGGTCAACCAGCCATTCCTTTGCTGACGACTCAGATCTCCCTTTCAAGTTTGAATTCTTTGACCGGTCAACTTTCGGATTCGGACCCTTGACCGGTCATGGGTGAAATACACCCATCAACATCAAGGGTATTTTTGGAAAGTCAACACCAAAATATCCATCCTTATTTAATTACCACTTTAGTCAAAATGTCTCAATCT